TATCTCGACGATATGCTTTGCGTTACCTGCTAAGAAATTGAGCTTTTTTCTTAATCTCTGCGATTTGCATCAGTTTCCGCATCTCGTCTTTGATCAGTTTGTTAGACCTCAAATTCATCGATTTCTTCATCTCCTCTTGGATTCTCTTTGTCTCATCGAGTAGTACCATGAGAGGAATTCTTCACTTCTTGTCTTCTTGGAATTACGAGTATGGTTTTAATTTTAACAAGCTTTGTTGTATTTATATAATTCATTCTTTATCAAAATTCTTGTTCATTTGCTGCAATAATTTTGGGTTTATGCTCTATGTTTCTTCTATGTGTCAAATCATGGAATCTGAATCTCCAAATTTTGCGTTTTTATGGATTGATCTTTGTTTTCGAAAATTTGTAAAGTGAATGTAGTGTAAGACTGAGTTTAGCATATTAGAGTTGTTGTGAGTTGTTTAGAGACTAGTTTCATAGTTTTGTTCTTATCAATATTGAACTAGTTCTGGTTTAAATGGAACATGTAAGAAATTGTAAAAAAATAGCAGCATCTTCTATCTTAAATTGAGATGTTTGCGTTTTTTTTGTGCTAGTCGAATGGAACTCTTGAAGCGAAAAACAAGATGTAGAGATGATGTAGAATTTAGATGGAAAGCTTCTTTAATGGTGAAACCGTTTTCAAGACATGAAGTTTGAATCAGAAGACTAGAAGAGGCTGCAAAGTCTCTATGACAATTACGTGAAAGAGGAGGTAGCTTTTTGTCCATTTATCTAAATTGGTCAAATGTTGCATACTAAAATATAGAAAAGAAAGACAGAAAAGTGAGGTTGTTTCCTGTACTTAAGTCACTCGCTATAACGAACGGCAATCGTGTTTCCTGTAACTATGGTTGTGCTAGTGATTTATCTTAGTGAATACATAGTGTTAAGAATGAGTTGACCACATCTTGTAAGATTGGAAACAAAAACTGGTTAGGTCAGTATTTCCTTAGTGATTGCACCTCTATCCTTTCTACTGTAAGGATGTAAAACATGTTTTTTGTTGTCAAAGCTGTCAACTGAACAATCTGTAAGCGTTCTTGGAAACATGATGCAATCAAATATTAGTCCCCAAATCTCTACTTACGCTGTTTTCATTAAACATGTATTACGCTAGGTTTGATAAAGAATCATATGTTGAATCAAAATGAACTTTGTGTGATCATGTTGCTTTCTCAAGCACATGACTGTATTGTTTTGCCGCTTCTAGTTTTTTGTTATGTAACTTGTGGTCATTTGTTCTTTTTGGCATGTCGAGAAGTTAAATTATTCAGGTGCCCTTGATAGAATTAGATGATAACTTTGTGGAGTGTTTGTTCTCCCCTATATTTCAGAAGGCTATTTGTGAACTTAAAGCATATTTTTTTGCCAAATCCTTAACTCTCAAGTATAACGGTTTTGATACAGGCATACTGCATATTGCATACAGCTTTATTAGCCTAAGCTTTATATACTGT